CATGAAAATTTTTGTGGGTGAATTATTTTCTCGGAAACCGCGGAATCTGTGAAGCTGAAATTTTATGTTCTTTACCCAAGCGTGACCTAAAAAATTAAAATTCAGCCATTCCATGCCCGTGGGTATCATATACGGCCCCGTGAAAGTTTAGCGGGTAAATTATCATCTCGGGAACCACGGGATCCAGGAAGTTAAAATTTCGTAGTATTGACCTCCTACCCAAGTACGACCTGGCAAATTCAAATTCACTGTTTCTACGTTTTCGGACAACACCCACGGCCCGGTGGAAATTTTGGTGGGGAAATTATTATCTCGGGAACCAAAAAAGCCTGGAAGCGAAAATTTTATGGTATTGTCTTCTGTCCACGTACAATCCTGCAATTTTAAAATTCAGCTTCTCGCACGTCCGAGTATCACTTACCACACCGTGGAAATTTCGGCGGGGAAAATCATTGTCTCAGTGACTGCGGAAGTTCAAAATCTGGAATTTTAGCGTGATCTCCTCTACAAACGTATGAACTCGCAAATTTGGACTCATCCTTCACGCACCATGGGTACCACGTACAGCCCCGTGGAAGTTCTGACAGAGAAATTATTGTCTCGTGTGCGTGAAATTTTAGTGAAAAATTTCCGCAACTTAAGAGCCAGACAACATTTTAACTATTTTTGCACAGACTAAAGTGCAAAGCAGTGCAAGTCATTAGCAGGCAATCGTTCGATGAACGGAACTGCACAAAACGCATGATCGCACCGGCTGCCTGGTGCGCGCCGCTATTTATTTATATATAACTTCCATAAAATTGTAGGATGTATCCCCCTTCGCTATTACGCGGTCCGATTATGGAAGATTATCGGAAACTTTTACGGATCAGTGGTGTGAGGCGTCCGACACTTCCAACGACTTCGCTTCGTGCGTGGTTGCTCGCAGGTACCGCTACTGCGGCTATATATCTTCTCTCGCGATATATGTTTCTCAATTTCCCACCCTAATTTCTAGTGTACATAGCAGCAGCAGACATAATATCCTGGTTTTTTTCTCTACGAGTTGCGAGACCAAAATTTCTTGCACTTAGCGAATTCATGTTTTTTAAAGAATATTCTTAGTGATTTTGGCAGAAACGGTTTAATATATTCTTTTATATTCTCTGTTAATGCATGAGCTTACCGTTCTACCACAGAAATTTCTGTACTGCCAGCAGGCTTTTGAATGGGATAAGCAGCGTTTTTCATCAAGCTAGTGGACAGTATTTGAGTAAATCAAGTTAAGCCGCCTCTCAGGTACGAATGACTTGTTCATGTGTATTTGCGCTTACCTTTTTGCAGTTGATGGCTTATTCAGTTGCCCTAATGCTTTTCAAATATTCAAATAGTTGCGCCTGTTATATCTACAAAAGCTTTTAATAACCATCTGGTTCTTCCATCTGCGTAACTAGCAGCTTTTTCAAATTTGATTTGACCAATGCTTTAACACCTGTCGGTCAGCCTGCTGGCGATCCTGACGTTCATTTTGTCTTCTGGGCTCAACAGTTCTTCCAGTACATGCATTTGGCAAGGTTGCTGCCGTTTCAGTACGTTCTCAGTGCATGCTGAGCATTATCACCTCGTACCTAGCGCAAAGATTTCCGGGCTATGATGGCAAAAAGATTTACTGGAACTCTAAATTTTACACCTTAACAATCCAAATAATCAGCGAAAGAGTGTAAGCTCATGTAAAATCTTGCGTTGTTGGTGTTTCATACTTTATTTGGTGTATTACGTACGGGATCCTCATGAAATATATTTCCGTTCCAAATTGCTCATCATGAAAATAATTATTGCGATTTCAGTTATGATAAACTGGTTGACGATTTCAAATTAGTATGCCGCATTGCATTCATGCATTGAGGGAGGCGCACTTTTAACGGGTGATGTTCAAGAATCCGCCTATTGCTTGTTCTTTTCAACAACTGAAACAGATCTGGGATGGCTTTTTCGTCGATCCCGCCTAGCAGTTTAATTTGTGCAAAATTGCCTTTCTCCCATCGAGCTTCCGCTCCTCACAGCAAATTTTGGTCATTTTCTTAAAGTTTCATGTACTAATGGCGGGTTCAAATTAATGCCGCTAGGACTGTTTTGAGGAGGGCTTAAAAGACTGGTTCTGAAATTATAGATTGAAATTGGGCGA